TGCCCATACCAACCCACACACAACACAACACCTGAGTAAATAAACAAGGAGTTTATTACACAGCAGTCACTGAACGATTTTACATAATCAGTCAATAATAGCATAGTTTACAATTAATTATTAGAACATGTTCAGAATGCAATCAGATATCAAAGTACATAAACATCACATGTAGATTCGTTATACACGACACATGCTACATTAATCGCGACACATATTCCAATGTACACAACAATAGTTCAGAACTCTACACATCACCCCAGTGGGGGTTCATACAATCTACATTCTGTAACGGTCCCAAACAGCATATAGTATTCATGCACAACGTAATAAAATAGTTAAAATATCCGACACGCTCTATACATTCTATAATAGTCACAAAACAGTGTAGTGTCAATCAGTATGGAATACACAATCCTAAACTGCAATACAGAAGATATGAGACACATACTAAGGGATGCCTCGTTCCACATAAACCTGAAGGTACTGCCAGGGTTGTAACTTATAGTTAAGGTATTTACAATAGATTAAAGTTAACCTAGAATAACAATGGTATATATGTCAAAGTAGAAGAAAGTAAAGTTTCTTACCTGAGTAAATAAACAAGGAGTTTATTACACAGCAGTCACTGAACGATTTGTGACTGTGTGTTGTCCCTGTTTTATACCTATTCCAGTTATCATAGATAATCCCATTTACTGATACACTGACGATAAAGTTGTTGTTGTGAACTTCAGTTGCTATATCTAAATCCTATTGCCTAACTCGACTGACGATACGGTGCCAACTGCGCACTTAAGCTACTCTATCTTGACCGGATTATATGATAATTTTCATAAACGTATTGAAGACATCGGTGTTGATGGGTGCAGTTCACAGTGCATTTGATTAGCTTATTGCTATCTGCAGACCCGGACCAGATACTGGTTTCGGATGTTCATTATCAATGTGACCCTTGGCAGCTTGAAGATTGTGAACCGTGGTCAGTTAATCTGTACATGTCCAGTTTTCAATAATATATACTGTCATAAATATTGGTAAAACTTTGTCTAGTTTTACCGTGTTAATATTTATCTTCTGTAAAGTCGGCTATATTCCAATCACGAGACATGTCGTCAAATAATGTCTTATAAAAGTTACCAATGTCCCAATAATATCCATAGATTTTAGAATCTATAATAAAAATGCACAACTTCACTACTTGTTTGATAAATGACAACCAAATTAAAAGAATTGTATTGATAAATAGTTTCCGTAGATGGTGGATGTAAATCTGTAAGAGAATCAGGCGCTTGCATGTTAACAATTTTGTATAAGGTTCAAAGTTTCTTATGTGTACTTCTAACTTATAAAAGTAACCAACTTGTTTTACTATACAAACCAGGCTAGCTATTTTCGAAACGTTCGTAGCCCTACGAACTTCTTAAGCCCATTCTTAACACATTGGCTACGATCAAAGTTAAGAAGTCTTAGGGCTACGAACGTTTCGAGAATAAGGCCCAAGCTCTTGAAGCGAATTTTGGCAGACTGGTTATAACTTTTGCTGCTTCAAGCTGAACCGTTTGACGTTTGTCACAAATATCTGCGGTACAATAATTAATTATCCCAGACCTCAAAGCAATATTCAAAGATAGGTCTAGCGTACATTTCATATATGTTTGATAGACTATTTCTAGATAGGACGTACTTTAACGACCGTAATGAGGAAACTATTTTAGAGGCCTTTTCTATTACAGCAGTTACATGATGACGCCACTTTGTATTGTCTGATAACACCAAGATGTTTATGTTGATGTTTATGTGCACGCTCCAAATGTTCATTGAGGAAGATCAAGTCAGGTACTTGAGGCCAATGTCCATAGTTGAAAAGCATAAATTTAGTCTTGTTAGGTTTAAACTTAAGTAATCACTTTTCTGCTCATTTATTCAATTTTACTAAATTATAGTTGAGAGTAGCTTCTATGAATTTTACATCTTTTCCCGCAACACCGATTGATGCGTCATCGGCAAACATTCTTGTGATATTTTATAAATTTCCAGGTAAATCATTGATATATACAAGGATCACAAATGGACCAAGGACAGATCCTTGAGGAACCCCTGCAGTAACATTTAGTTTTTCATAAAGTTCCACTAACAGAGACACACTGTCGTCTATCAGATAGATAGTTAGTTAACCCATTAAGTACGTTTCCGCAAACACCATAATTTTCTAATTTGTGCCATAAACCTTTATGCCAAGCCCTGTCAAAAGCTTTTGAAATGTCACAAAACACCATACAGTAAAGGTGGCGATTATGTAGGACTGACCATATATTATGATGAATTTCTATGAGTTGAGATGTATTAGAATGACTAGCAGTAAAACCTGACAGGAATTTACTTGAAATGCTTATTCATGGAAGTGGTTATGCACATGCTTTACTGTTACTTGCTGTCCCGAGCTACAATCTCAAATCATTTGGCTCAAGGACCTTTTTCATATGCAGCAGCTTCTCTGTGGAACTCTCTCCCTATCGAGTTAAAATCATCTCCTTCCCTAAGTACATTCAAAACACGACTAAAGACTCATCTATTTCTTCGCTACAAGTGACTTCCAATCATCCGTACCTGCCAACTGTATATAGTTTTAACTTGAGCTCAGGAAGCGCTTTGAGCATATCCCTGTGACGTGGAAAGGCGCTATATAAATGGCCTATTATTATTATTATTATTATTATTATTATTCTTTCACGAATTTTCCCCAGGATAGATAGTAAACCAATAGGTCCGTTAATTAGTTTGGAGGGATGTATCTCCTTCGTTCAAAATAGGAGTAACATTACCCGTTTTCCACATTGTCGGAAATACATTCACAGTGCCGTTTTCCACATTGTCGGAAATACATTCACAGTGATAAAATTTATTATACAACAAAGAGGTTCAGCTATAACCTTTTCGGTTACAATGACATTTGTTATACCGTTAACACAGTGATGGCTAGCAGGTGGCAAAGTCTTCCCGCCGTCATTAACATTTGAAACATATACAACATATTTATTTAATGTTTGAGGTTTATCCAAATCTGTAAAAAACTGAAGGTATCCCAGAATCATGAGTTACAAGTGAGTGGGTGAGTTGGGTTTTACGCCACTTTTAGCAATATTCCCGAAATATCACCGCGGGGAACACCAGAAATGGGCTTCACACATTGTACCCATGTGGGGAATCGAACCCGGGACTTCGGCGTGACGAGCGAACGCTTTAACCACTAGGCTACCCCACCCACCCCTTTAGATACAAGATGGGGACGGGTCCCGATGAAGTAGTACCTTTCAACAAAAAAATTATAGATCATCCATTCACCACCTCATTGAGTAGATTGAGGTGATAAATAGTTATCAAAATTAGAATAAAAGTTTAACTTGGCTATTCTGTTCAGATTATTTACTTTATTCCTTTGCTTTTTGTATCTAAGTAGGTCAGACGTATTCAGAGATCGAAATGCCTTTTTTCCTTCGGCGTTCTCTTTTCTTTTAAGTATGTTACGAGGGGCGTTGAAAAAGTAGCCAGCCTAACTATATTCTCGATGTCCAATGTTTGAAAAGCTTCCATTATATTTTGAAGGAATTGTTAGCAAAGTCATATCCGAAATATCACATATGTGGGTAATGTGGTTAACGAGATATTAGTCATCACAACACATTGGGATATAATATTACTTAAAAATTTGCAGAACATGAAAAATGACCTGTCATTTGGTACCTCTTGGATAATGGTATGCCTTCAGATAATATCATATAAAATATGTTCAGTATAGTATAGGATGACTTCCCGTCATAATCAACAGTCAGAGATTTGGATTGCTTGATTTATATTTAGACGGGGATTGTGTTTTTAAGGACACACCTATTTTAATCTTTCAAAAACATTGTGTTAAGATAAACAATATATTGAGAGCTGACACTTGTGTGACCATTCAGTATTTAGTTTAAACCCTTGGAATCATGTATGAATAAGTGAAAACATTAGAATAAGTTATGTCCTTATGATTACGTCATCTGACTGACTGACTGACTGACTGAGTTTAGTTTTACGCCGCTTTTAGCAATATTCCAGCAATATCACGGCGGGGGGACACCAGAAATGGGCTTAACACATTGTGCCCATGTGGGGAATCGAACCCGGGTCTTGGGCTTGACGAGCCAACGCTTTAACCACTAGGCTACCCCACCGCCCTACGTCATCTGAAAGGGGGTGGGTAGTGTTTCCAAAAAAACTCTTTCAGTAAACATGAAGGGGGAGTCACTTGAACAAGCGATTGTAGTTTCAAATTGCCTTTTTTTGCACTTTAATATCTAAGTTTGATTCTAGCGGACTTCTACCAATCTCAAACATACAAAATGTTTCTTGCATATTTTGAACCTAATAACTGACATTCAATGTGGTTTTCGTAAAAACAGTACTAATCACTTAGTGCGGTTTGAATCATTTACCAAAACGCTGTAATTAATGAACATCATGCAGTGTCGATCTTTTTCGATCTAGAAAAAACATACGACACTACATGGAAATGGGGTATTTTAAAAGATTTAAATGCCAAATCTATAGCCAAATTTTTAAATGACAGACAATTTCAAGTACGAGTGGGTTCTACCCTGTCTGATCATTATAGTCAGGATCAGGGTGTCCCACAAGGCTGTATTTTGTGTGCCACATTGTTTAGTATAAAGATTAACATTTTAACAAATGTTTTAAATGATTCAATTGATGGATCGTTATTTGTGGATGATTTAAACATTTCTGGTAATACAAGGGCCGATGTAGCTTCTAAGGCAGCACTCAACAAATCTGTGACACCACTTCTAATTCCATACTCCGATTATATAGCTATCATCAAGCAGGTATCAATGAATTACATCAAATAAAACGTACTACCGTTTACACCTACTTGGGTTGTCAGTCCAGATTTAAGGAGGTCATAATGCGACGACGTCGCATTGGCCATATGCGATATGCACATGAATACTTATTAAAAGGTGAGGATCCTCCGTTTTGCATCCCTTGTGATGAAAGAATCACGGTCGAGCATGTCCTGCTTGACTGTATTGATTTTTCCATCACAAGGATAAGTATTTCAATGTAAAAACTGTTTTTGTAAAAGAAATAGAATTGTTGCATAAATTTGATATGTTTTGTAAATAGATAAATATTTTATAATTAGTAGTTTAGATTATCAACTGGGATTGTTCAGGGCTGTATCCTCAAAGGGGGTTAAAGTACTGTAAATATTGTCCTCCTGAGGGATTACGTAAGTCCCCAAACGTTCAACGTATATCTTAACTTGCTACTTTTGTAATCGCAGTATATATGTCATTTTAATTTATGGCTAGATTGCCCAAAATTGCTAACATCTGAAGGGATGGTGTAAACCCAGCTAGGATCCATGCAGGAAGCAAATGTACTGTAAGTCCCCATGGTCCCTAGTATGGTGATCTACCTTCAGTTGTGGGCAATCTACAGCCTGTTTTTATATTGTATTGTCATTTATAGTTAAAATATTTTAGATTTAATTACCGGTTTTAAATTCATATCTGTGATAATGTGGTTGTTTTACTGTCCTTTGCAGACAAGTAAGTATACTATCCCAAAACAGAAACGCATAGGCATTTTGTATTTTTAAAAATCTATTAATTACCTATTGTGTTCAGACAATCGTTAAAATATGTAACAAAAGTGTTGATAACATAATTTTGCACAATTGCACAAGTGAAGAGTCGACTTTACCTGAAAATGTTGAATTTGATGAGATTTCTTACAAGAATATAAAGGCATCGCCACAACGCAACAGAAATCACCTTCCAGTTGAAATTGTGCAGCAAAGAGTATGCGCTGTCTGGCTATAAAATCCAGATTACTTTCGGAAATCGGCATTCGTTTTGAAGGAGTTTCAAGGTCAAATCAATACGCCAGGTCTTTAGACTGCGACACGGAACATCGCCATTGAAAGAATGCACGCTGGAGATTACCAATTTTCTGTTGCCAGGCGTCTGAATGTTAGTCTGAGCACGATATCACGGCTTGCAGCTCGTTACAACCAAACAGGTATAACAAATGACTGTCCCCGTACAGGCAGATCTCGAGTGACCACTGCAGCCCAAGATCGGTACATCCGGGTACTACTTTTGCGTGATCGTACTGCCACGGGTGAGAGCACAGCAGCCAGGGTGCCTGGACTCCGGAGGAACTCAACATCAACTCAAAATTCAACATTTTCGCGACAGATGTCCGGGTTATGCGTTTCTTTTTTTGGAATACTATTCTCTAAATTTGTTTTCTTATTCATTTATAAATCTACAACTTTCTTAGTCAAGACATTGCTGAAATACTGCCGATGTGACTTTAAATTATAGCTCAATCACTCACTCCTAGTTAATCACCGAGGACTGCGAATAGAAAGAAAACACTTACTTTAATTAGTATCCAAATTTATAAATATATGCAAGTTTATGTAATCGTAAACGTCAGACATTAGAGACATAAAATTTGGGTAATGTTTGTGTCGCTTTTCTTGTTGAACCGTAATGGATCGCCACAATAGTTCCGGTTAAAAAATGCAATCCTTTTATCTCGTCATTTAGGACGTCTGAAGACGGCTTCTTGGAAAAGACCACTGTTCATTTGGTTAAACTTAATGATGCAACCACTGGCTAGGTTAACATGAAACGTTTCTTAAACACACCTACACAATCACTGTCTTATATTAAACGACAACCTCTCAACATTTTGTTATTTATCATGTGAGCTAGTTTACGTAAATCGAAAACATCAGATATACAATTTGTGTAATGATCGTGTCGCTTTTCTTGTGGCTCATTAGGCTGAACCGTAATGGATCATCACAGTAGATATGCTCAGAAATGCAGCCTATTTATCTTTAATGTTCAGCAGTTAACGAAGTCGAGGTCAGCAAGTCCCACTAGTGGGACACGCAACAAACTTTATCCTTGGGCCAAAAGTAATAACAGGGCCCATCGTGTAGAATCTCTCAGCAGCAGTAGGAGTGTCAGCCACAAAATCAGTATGACATCTTCAACCCTCGAGAAAATCTTGTCGCCTTGGAACTAGGCACAGAATGTCCATGTTACTGACAACAAACAAGGTTTACCCCCACTGCTTGTCTCACATGCACAGTCCACGTCTAAGATATGAGGACGTGGGTGACAAGTGTTCAGATTGAGATTAACAGTATAAACTGCATGAGAATGGTGCAAACTGTAAATGTACTGTACGTAAACAAAGGGGAAGGGTTCAAAGCACGAGCTTGAACGTGAACCTTGGACATTTATAAACTACTATATTACGGTCAAAGAGAACAGATATATATTTCCTTTAGATGAACATTTTTTAAATATGTAGCTGATATAACAAAAAGTGTGGATAAGTCATCAGAGGAAACAGCAAAGAGCGACAATGGCTAGTGACTTCATGCAACAACCATTCTCTCTCAACTCTGATCGATCATGTACTGTAATTAATACATTCTTTATAAATTTGGTCGAATGAATACATAACTATGATTGCTCGTGGCTGTACACTCGGAGGGGGTTGACGCCAAAATTCGTTAAATCCAGATAGGGGCCATGCAGGTAGCAAAAAGTAACGTACGTCGCGATATGGCTGAAATATTGCCGATGTGACGTAAAATTTTAACTCACTCACTTGCACATTTTGTTTCCTGAAGTTTGTGATGCATTTATTGCAGATTGTGCGTTTTGTGCGAGTACCAAGATAAAAAGTGTAACAAAATTGGGATCGTGAGGCTGAAACATAGCAAAACAAATTTGCTTGTGATTGACAGATAATATGTAGAAAAAATAAAACCTAAAAACAGCTGCATTTGTATCATATTCTAGGTGTGTCTGACTTTTTGGACGCCCCTCGTAAATATACCCGTTAGAACACTACACCACCCCCAACTCTACATGCATTAGTGGACCGCGTCATACCAAAAGACGTTAAAATATGGTACTTGTTGGTCCCTGCCTGGCGCTCGGCATTAATGGGTACAACAAGGACTGGTCGGCTCGGAGTCAGTATATTGTGTCTTAGTGGGGTATTCATGCTTCACTGTGGCATGGTTTCTCAGTGGGCTAGCACTATAAAACCAGCTTCTGTCTGGGCTAGTACAAGCAGCCGCACATACACATACACACGCATGCACGTCGTCATGAGCGAAATATTCTCAAGCACGACGTTAAACCCAATTTCACCTCAACTCACATGCATTAGTGTGTTAGATATACCCGTTAGAATCCCCCTCTGTATATGTTTACATATCAAAACCTCAACAGATATTTGCCAAAAAACATGGCACAGAGGACATTTGGAGATTTTATATCGATTATACATCAGGACGAATATGATTGTTCGTCATTTAGCTAAGAGCACCCTTGATACTGCGGTTATTATATTTTCCATAAGTATTTATCAATGTGAAGGTCGCCCAGTTCATCTGGCGTCCGCACATCGTTTCAACGCACCTGGGTACTACTTTTAAGCAAAATTTGTCAGTTCTTCTTGAGTTATCGCGCTAACAATTTTTATATTGGCAAAACACTCATATTTTTGCTGTGACCTTGCAAATTATCTCAAGGTCATTAAATTCAACTGGTGTCGGTGAATCTCGCCACGACACCTTGGTACCAAATTTGAACAAAATTCATCATTTCTTTCTGGAGTTATCGCCCTAACAAGCTTACATGATGTATGAAATGCAACGAAAAACGAACACACGCGTATTTACGAATGATTAAAGCTGTTATTACAATTTTATAAATAGTAATTATTACATTTTACCGCAACTAAAATTATTACAATTTACTTAAATTTGTATTACAATTTGCGTATTACAATTTACGTCAATTCTTATTACAATTTACGTTTTTATTACAATTTATGTCAAGGTTTATTACAATTTGCTGCAAGTGTTACAATTTACGTTTTATTACAATTTACGTCGTAACAGGGGTGTACGACCGGTCTTATCTTGAGGCGTCTCTACTCGGTGCGCCAGTATGTCAGGTGCTATTTACACCGCCACTGAGTGAAATAGACAAGGATTACATGAAGTTTCTCCCTATAATCCAGCGTGTTATTGACAATAGGGTGTTGATATCAACAATACACACATGATCAGATGGTCGGGGTCTGATTGTGGGTTAAGGCTCTATCGGCGGGAGTCAGTTCAACAGCTTTGTTCACAGGATTACAGATTTGACAGATATATACAAGGCGATTTACACGAAGTGATATAGGCTTGATATACAATATGTGAAATAGATTTGAAATTGACAAGTGTTTTGTGATTTGAAGTAGAGGGATGCCAGATTCTTTTGTTTGGGGTAGTTTGAACATACAATTTAAATATTTTGAATACCGTTTTTGAAAACCGACTCTATCGGCAGACATGATCTGGCTTTTAGTGGGATTGGTTGGTTGGTTTGTTGTTTAACGCCGCACTCAGCAATGTTCCAGCTATATGTCTGTATGTACGAATGTACATATGGTACGTGCGTGATTTGACCAACGTGGGATATAAACATACACTACAGATAAACGCATTGTACCTTGGATACAGGAACTTGGTCATTAGTCTGTGGTGCTTCCAATCTCCAATACCATAAAATGTTACAAAATGTGTTTAAAACTTTGTCCAGTTTTTCCATCTTAATACCTATAACAATATCATACCCCCATTGATTGTTTGTTTCATATCAACAACCATCAGATATATGTCTTTATCTTTCCTATTGCCGGTATGATATTCATAAAATAGATGTGTTTGTAGAATATAGAAACTATCCCGCGATGTGTTTGTAGAATGTAGAAACAATCCCGTGATGTGTTTGTAGAATGTAGAAACTATCCCGCGATGTGTTTGTAGAATGTAGAAACTATCCCGCGATGTTTTTGTAGAATGTAGAAACTATCCCACAATGTGTTTGTAGAATGTAGAAACTATCCCG